CTTATTCTCCTTACCATTTGATCATCATAAAACCTGTAAAAATTCCCTTGTTTTCACACTTGGGAGCAAGTTTATTTCACTCTCAACTCCTGCAAAGTCTTTTAGCAGTTCTTCTATGAGAACTTCCTGGGGAAAAACAAATCTCTCCAACACAAGAAAAAAGCTTGCCCCAAACCAGACTTGGTAGGTTAAAATAATGCAATAAAGCATGTTTAATACAGTATTGTCTTTTAAGTTTCTGTTTTAATGATGACTAAACCTCAAAAGGTTTGTAGGAGTAAACGTTCAAAAATTCAAATGCCTATTTGAACCTCCTGGGTCTGCCAGATTACACTGGAAATCTCATTAAAACAGATTCTCCTGAGATTCCTGGTACTTTGTAGCACTGGATGAACCAGGACTACTTTGAGACCAGCCTTAATTATAGTAAAATTGAATTTACTTAGAGATTTGAGTTGCATAAATGCTGCACACACAAAAGAATCATGCCAAAGAGAAGTTTGTTTCTTCTGTAGTTCTGCAACCACATCTGGCATGGTTGTTCAGTGCTAGAAAATACTTAGTATGCAAGGGAAGTCTGACAAACAGGTGGATATTCACAGAAGTGCAATAATAATGGTCTGAAGCTAAAAAGATCAATCTGTCCAGAAAGTTAAGTAAAAATATGTATCAATGTACTTGCATTTATAATGTGTTTAGCACATAAAACAGTATATATGTTCATTACAATAATATATGATTTTCCTAAGTAAGGATTAAAATGTAACATTATAAAAGTCTACAAATATTTTAAAGGGGGAGAGGAAGTATTAGGAAATGGGTGGAAATAATAGGTAGAAATAAGGAAGAACAATTTAAGCCATGAAGAAACCTTCCTTACACCAAGATAATGGATTATTGAGTAGTCTCCTGAAAGACTTGTTGGAATCCCATCTGCTTGGGACATTTCAGAAAAGAGAATATCCTATAATATTTTGGAGATTTCTGAGGCTTCATATGGTCTACAAACCAAACCCTTCATAATTTTTCAATACCAGTCCCTTCCAGAACCTGGAGGTGTATTTAAGTGATATGCAAAAACTGACACATAGTGGAATAATTGAGTTATTGCATGCTCTTTCAAATATCAAAAATACATGTACATATGTGAAAATTCTTTGTACATATTCACAATATCCATGCATGTGGTGACGCACTGCTAAATACAGACTTTTTTACTTTCAGGGCGATCTATCTAGCTTTGGGTTCTATGTAGCAACCTACTAGGACCATGTTTTTCAGGTTTACCTGTTTTACAGGTAAATTAAATATGTTTAATAAGGCATTTTGTGGACTGCAAGAAGTTAACATTTTCTCTTCCTTGGTTAGAAGAGATACTTCTTAAATGAGATATAAAGTTGGTATGTGGAGGGTGTTTTTACACATAGTATCAACTGTCTTCATAGAAGGTCATAATACACTAGTGGTCCTAAAAGTAAGACCAAAGATCTTGAACCAACCCATATGCAGAGTGGAACCAATGAAGACAGTGCAATATGTGTAGGGTAATTCAATCTAATGAGCAGCCAGATGACCACATTTAGCAAAAAACCATCCTTGTACTGTCTCCCTGTATAGTCTTAGATACCTGAATTAAGGTAATTTTAGATCAAGGTGAAAACTGTAGACTCTATAACCAGCTCTTCCCAAAGAAGGGGTTTGGGTGAATTGGGATTTTCCTACCAATTATTGTCTTTAAATTATTGTTGATTGATCCCAATAAATGTGAGATATATTTTGTTTCAGTTTTAAGTAATGTGGACTCCTATGTTACCTCTTGTATGCATACATTGCAAACAATGAAGACAGAAAAAGCCTCCCCCCAAAAACTAAAACCCAATGAATAGTAAAAAACAACCCCCAAGCCCCCCAAATAAAAAAGCCCTGTAGATCCTATCTAAGTACTTAAAATAATGTCATATCTAAATTTCAGCCTCATTAGAAATGTGTTTGAATAATTACTAAACACCACTAGCCCACTTACATTCAAAATCAAATAAATCTTGGCTTTAGATGTTGTCAAAGAGATCATCTGAAGCATTCAGTATTTCATGTTTCATTAAGTGCTTTTAAGTTAAGATTTCAAGTCATTTGATTGCAGTCTTGTGGGGAGGATGAGAGAGAGAAAGAACACGTGTGTCAAGTTTCAGCCTGTCCCTAATTTGAAACAGCAAAGTCATAAACTCCTTTATAAAACAGGACTTGCAAGGGAAATACATAAAAAGCCTTCAACTATAATAGTGTCTGCTGGCACTATTGAATACTTTCAATCACTGCAAAATGCTGCCATCTACTGGAGAATGTTTAATTAATAAAACCTTCAGTTGATTTGCACATATGGAAAATCCATTATTCTTTAAGTGGGGGGAGATTTTGTGAGTTGATGGTAATTAAAATACCCTTTTTGTGGTCTTACAGATTTTTGGTTTAAAAAATCAACTGTAGAAGTAGATTTTATGTGAGGGAAATTCTGATTTTAATAAGGTCAAAAATTGGAAAAATGAAAATCCTCTTTCATTTTTTTACAAGGGACCATAATTTAAAATGAAATATATGACATCTTTATAAGGAAATGATTTCAGGCGGGTAAAAATCTAATGCTGCTGTTGAAGAACACGTAACTACATTTTATAAAGGTAATTGAACCTCCATGATATACTGTGGAATACTGAATTTAAATAGTGAAAGCCAATGTCCTGCAAAAATACTTTAAAACTGTATGTTTTGTCAAGAATGTTAAATTGTGGATCTAATTAAACACACACTCATTGTACTGAGTACATGTAGATTTTACACCAATAATACATTGGTGCTGACATAGCAGGAAATGAGATTCACCTCCAAACATAAAGCTCAATTATGGTGTCTAGAAGCTGGAGCTGCACTGTGAAGGACAGAATGAACTGTGGAGGAAAAGGTATTACATCTTTCTGAAGTGCTATAAAGGAGATGCTGTGTTATGTTGTGGGTAGACAGAAGCTGCCCTTACTTCAGCTAAGCTCTGCAGATATTCAAGGGAAGTTCAGTCTTGGAGTGTGGGTCTTCAAAGGGGACCCAGGTCAGGCCTATCTATGTACCTATGTAAGAACATGGGGTATTTGTACCTCTAATTCAGGAAAATATTTATGCATACCATTCCATGAGAACCTCAGAACAGTTCTACTTTTGGGGTAGGTTCATGCTAGATGCTGTGGAAATAACGTTATTGAAACGTTATTGAAACGTTTCAAAGGGCCAGCTGTACAAACCCTTTGAAATGCTCCAGAAGTGGCTGAAATATGGAATCTGAAGTGTTATATTTTATTACATGTAACAGGTACTTTTTTCCTCAAAACATCAGCTGCTGGAAATTGGGGTGAGTGTTTTAAGCAAGAAAATATAGTAATAACAGCCTCTGCAGACCAAACCTCTGCTGAGAGGGAAGAGAAAGTAAGGCTGCACTTAGCACACAGAAAGCCGCAAAGTGAACATACAGGGCTCCCTAGCTTTTGGCTGTGGACAATAGGAGGGGTTTCTGTCTTACCTGACAGAGGCTTGAGCTGCAGAAGCTGCTAGTGTCTCAGCTCCAGTGAATTTCTAAAGCAGAGCAGAGCCCAAGGTCCTGGGGCAGAGGCTCCTGCTGAATCAGCCAAGGGGGCTCTCAGTTGACTCTGCAAGTTATGCTGATTTGCATGAGGAGCTCAGCTGAAAAGGAAGGTGTTGCTGGCTGTCCGCCAAGCTCAGCTCAAGAAGAGAGGAGTGATGATGAAGTTTTGCTCAATTAGCAGCACCTGTGGTGTGCTGCAGTTGGGGGGAGGAGGCGGGGCAGTCAACAAAGTAGCCACAATGTTTTGCTCTCCCATGACTGCCCATGTTTTCCCTGGGAAAATACTGTACTTACCATTATTTTCAGGGAAAGACCTTTTTCTCCATTCTGTCTTGTATCTGAGTTAAATGATAGTTAAAGATATTGGATTAATTATCTATATATCTGAAAGGATGTAAATATTTCCTAGCTGTAACTGGATCAAGGTTAACATCTGATCAGTCAAACAGATGCTCTTTAGGGGAGGGAGTTATCAGTATGGTATACATATGCCCTCTGAGAATTGAATAGAACACTGTAGATGCATGGATCATATGAAGGGATTTAAGGCATTGCTTGATTTAGTCCCCACCTAATGGATGCTCTGTAGTCCAAGGTAGCAAGATAGTGAAAGAAAATGCTGCCTGGGTAAAGCCAACATCTTCATTCTAGTGGAAGGTACAGGGTGAGATCATACCTAGTTTTTATCGCTTGTTGTTTGTTTTCATATCTCTCTACATATATTGTTACTGTTTTATGATTTCTCTTGTTTATGAATTATACTTTTTGTCATTTCTTATACCTTACTGATACTCTCAGGTAAATGTTATTTCAGAGCAGTTGGCTATACAGGATGGCCACTCCGATGGGGAAAAGGACCTATAATCTCTTACACAAGTCAGGCAAAAGTATGATCCTTTGAGTCGGCAAAAAGTCCTCTGCTTCTTGAGCTGGTAGGGCGTCAATGAAACAGATTGAGCTCAAGTACACTGAATTAAGAAGTTGGCAAATCTACCCTATCTTCTATTGGCAAATCTTATATTGTTCTCAGTTGTCAAGCAACAGACAGTGGAGAGAACTCCGGGGCTGAAGGACACCCCTAAAGAAGAGATGCACCCCAGGTTTGTCAAAGCACCAAAATGGTGACTCTTCATTTCTTCTCCTACAATACTACAGCACAACAGACGTACTTTGCTCCATTCAGTTAAAATGTCCTTCAATTACTTTAACCAAATTAAGGCCCTAATCCTATAAATTCACATATGCAGGTAGTAGGGATCATGCATATGTTAGAAATTTGTGGACAGAGGTTTTAATAATCATTTAAGATATTAGGATTAGTTGTTAAAATTCTGTCGATCCAACAGGTTTTTCTCTAGGACAACTGGGCACTTAGTCCTGTTGCAATTAAGGTAAAATTAGAAAAGCAATACATGCATAATTATATTAATATATCAATGTGTACTATTACTCTGTTTAGAAAACTTTTGCGTTAGGTGTTCATTAGCCTGGGTGATGGTATGTATATCAACCTAACACAAAATCAATTAGTTACCCATTAAATGACAATTAGTATTTTAGCAATTACAGTGCACTCACCTACCAAGCATTAATGTATATGAGGTCTGATGGAAAATATAAAACCCCAAAAATTAGATTTAGAGTGAAATGGGTTATGCATCCTGTAAGTATATCTGAAATGTACTATGGGAAAGATAGTGCCTAGGTATTAATCCCAGTTTCTTATGCTCTATATTCTTAAAGTATAGATATTTATGATTTAGCATCATAATCTTTCAGCTTCTCTATTAATGGAACTTCCTACACATTGTTTATGGAACTTGGCTATTAACTTGCAAGAATAACTTGCAGTTCTAAATTATACTTAGTTGATGAAAAACTGTAACCAAACCTACATATTTTTTTTCCAGGAATGGACAAGAGTTTATTTTGCATGTTTAAATGTCAGAGAGAAAAAATAAAATTAAATCTAGATTAAGTTTCTTATAATGGTTATCAGTGGGTCATTTAAAAATAAAATCAACGTTTTATTGAATTTAGATAAAAATGAAGAATGCAGTGTCCTGAAACAAATGTGAAAGTATCATTTTGTCTACTATGCACCTTGATATTTCCACAAGGTTCACTTTATCAAGGAGCTTTGCAGAGTACTTTTATATATTCCCTGTCCCCTTCATCACTAATATAAAACAAGTATGACTTAAGTACAGATCTCTGATTAGTAATGAAAGTTTCTGTGCTCTCATCAAGCTCCTATTGATGTGAATAAGCCATATATTGTTTTTCTATTTTTGGAAGGATAAGTTGATTCAGACTTTTTGATTCTTCATTTTTTTTTCAAATAATCAGATAGTAACAACATTTGATTTAAATAAAGATTACGCAATAGGAAACATTACAATTTAGAAAAATCTAAATTTGGAATATTGGCTATAACTTTGTGTCTCCCTTTCAGAGTATAAAGTGAGATAGTATTTGCTACTCAGTTTTGCTGTGAGCCTTTGTGTATGTATGGCATTTTGAGATCCCATCTGAAAAAAGTTATAGACATTTTATTTAATTAAACTATAAACTTGTTAGGGGACATTTTTACCAGGAAATGGAAAACTGCTCAAACAGATTACAGTTCTAAAGGAAAGCTCTGAAACTCACAGTAACTTGATAGTTTACCAAGTGTTGAAAAATGAATAGTATATTCAACTACATGGTTATAATAAAATTCTTGTTAGTTTGGATTTTTCTTAAACTTCTATTCTCCCTAGACTGGTCCAGATGTTCCATAAACTAATCAAATGGTTATTATCTCTGACTAACAAAAGCATTTTCAGACTACTGGGGACCAAATGGATATACAGTATTTCTTACTAGGAAGGTAGTTTGTTTCCTTTGTGAAATTTGCTCAAGTAGGAGTTTCCCTGCAAAAGCCAGAGGTTGTATACCAATGTCACTACTCATGGGTTTCTATTCCATTTCTCATGTTTAGGAGAAACTATTTATTTTTGTCACAATTAGTGACTCAAGCTTAACAGTTCAGACTGAAGAGGTAGAAAGATATGACAACAAAAACATTTAATAGCAGCTTAGACACTGAACAGTCTAAAACAAGTATCCCATGGTTGATCATTTATACATCATGATGTGACATGCCCTTAGCTAGTAATAAATAAATACTAGCACTAGTAACCTAACAGGGCACTCTAACTTCATTTTGGTTATACTGCTACTTCTTAAGCATAACCTGGTGCACCAGGTAAGAAACAGTTGGACAATAATAGCTCCATCTGAGGCTACATACAGATATTCAAGGAGCTTAGGGGGAGGCCGGCAAGGTCCACAGGGGGTCTGTTGGGGTCTGGAAGGGTTTGGTGGGATCAGAGAGTTTGTGGGGGGGTGGGGAAGGGATTACAGGTTGTCTTCCCCATCCCCCAGGACCAGGGACTGTTTTCAGCCCCTCCTAAATCCCCCAACCCCAAACCAAAACCCCCTACATCCCTTCTTCCCCACCCTCCACCTTGAATTACTTGCTTGGTGCCCAGCATTGGTGAATACATATAAAACTAGTGCTGTGAGCAGCTTGTGGGATGGGAAGTTTGGCAGACTTAGTGGGGGATCTGGCTGGCTCAGAGGTTGCTCTCTGTCTGGGGGGGGAGGGGCTGGGAGGCTAAAAATAGCCGTGTGATAGGGAGAGGGGTAGGGAAAATGCAGCCATAGGCATATGGCCAGTGGCTGGGCTTTCTCAGCCCTAGGGCTGTGTTGGGAACTGTACAGAAGTTCAGGACAGCTAGATTAGTCTAAGCATGGCCAGCACAATCTAAGTTATACTGCCTTGGAAGTAGTTATTTCCAAGGCAGTCTAACTTGAATTGGGTCAGCCATCTTTATACTGAACTAACTGTCCTGAACTTCCATACAGTTCATGCTTAGAACCATCTAACTAGCATAAGATCTGCACCTGGGAGAACTAAGGTGGCCATTTTTAAGAGCATCTAACTTTCCCCTAACCTCCATGAACATCTGTGCCTAACATAAATTAAATGGACTTCAAATCAGCCTACCTAATAAACTTGGTCAGGTACACTAGGATATTTTCATTCTGACCAGATGCAAGCAGATGAAACCCATAGCTAACATTAGTCAGTTCATATCTCTTAATTTAACCCTTATTTTAATTCAAATCAATGCTATTTTTCTTATCAATTTTAATTAGCAGAGAATGGAAAAGGCAATTTTCTTTCAGTGAAGTTTCATAAAAGAAGAACAAAACAGAATAAAATCAGGACAAAAGATCAAAATCTTTAAAAGAAGATTCATAGGCAGAAAAATTGTTTTAAAAATAAATTTTAGGAAAAATGAAATTGATTTTATCAGTTTTCTCTTTAGGCAGTCCCACTGCCCAAGAGTGAGGGATCTTAGAGAGCCTGGCTCTTTGGGATACGTCCATGTAGGCAACTGGGGGGCTTGGAAGAGTAGGAATCCTAAAAGCCTACTCCCCAGCTTGTTGGCTAAAAAGGAACAAAACGGGAGTAAATCCAAAAGCTTTAAAGGAACCACTACATCCCTGCAGAATATTTTAGTTTTGTCAAATCCACATTTTTAATCAAATGGTGTTCTGCTGGGAAAGTTTCAACAGCTCTGATAAATATACAAAGTTTTTCTTTGATAAGTAAAAAGAGTTGCATTGATGATATGTGAAAGAGATCACAGGGGAAATGCAGCTATAAAATCTAGACAAGGTAGAAGAGACCGTCATATCATCTAGTCTGGTCTACTGAATGCCACAATCCAAAGCATTACACTTTGTTAGTCCTCAGACAAAGGTTCATTTTAGGAGTATCTCAAAATATTTAATGCCAAATAAAAATATAAAAAAATGAGGAAGTGACATCATTAAGCCACATCCAGAGTTCAGTGAATGGCTTCACCCTTTCCCATTGAATTCATTCTTTTAAAGAGAATCTTAAAACAGCTAAATATACAGCAGTTAGAGGATTTGAAGAAACAAGCAGAGAACAATGAGAAACTGCTGAGAATAATGGCAAGGAGGTAAAAAAAGTTTTCAATATGCACGTTTACAATATCCACATATGGAGAAAAGGGATTGTAAAACCACAGAGCCAACCGAGAGTTAAAAAATACTCAGATTCTTGAATTCCTGCTGAAGAGGATTGTGCTTGCATAACCACCTTAAAGTCCAAAGCTCTCATCTATTCCATGCATTGATCTGAAGAATAACTATACTGTGGTTATACTGTGGGGAAAATGTAGCTTTCCTATTTCCATGATACTCAGAAAGATTGGTACGATTTGCTGAAGGATAAGAATTATTATGATAAATTAATAGGATTCTATTACTGTCTTGCTTGAGTCATGTCAAATGTCATGCCAGTCATGACAAAAGGAGCTGGACACAGTGTGCAAAGAATTTAGACTAGGAAACATGGAAATTTGTATTTTCTACAAGAGAGAGGCTGATAAATTGTATGTACTGGGCCATTCTGTATTGGTTGTAAGATGTACTACTGGTGTCATGGGACAACACACACAGGAGTATTGAGTTTTTCACACTGATCAACATTATGTGACTGCACACAAGAAAATAATGTGTAGTTTCTTCTCAATATTTATGTGCACCTGACCTTTATTATGCTAGTGGTATGAAGATATTTTTCATAGCACAAACATATTTTAATTTGGAATTGAATGGAATAGAAGTACTTCAATGATACATCACAGTAGCTTGCTTTAGTTAGCAGAAAATAAAATATAAGGCATTTGGATGTAAAGGACACTCATACATTTACAGGTCTAATAGGATTGGAGTATAATAGGGGACTGTCTTAGCCTCTGTTCCAAAGGGGAAGATGCCAACACTGGGGGAAACAAACTTACTTGGATGCTGAATCAGACAGACATCTGAGCTGAGAGTGGCAGCATGGAATCTGCTAGGGAAGGGAGACAACTCCTTGGCACATGCTTCAGCACACTCCAGGAACTGTTGCTGATTGGCTCAGGATCCTGGAAGTCAGGTAGCAAAAAACAAACCATCCACAGTCCCTTCATCCATTCAGGGGGAAACATGCAATCAGACATAGGCTGCAGCACAGCTCGTGAGAAGGCATGAGGCAGAGCCAGGAACACAGGGAGCCTAGGTCAGGACTGGATGTCAGAGAAGCTGGGTGGAAAGTCTGCACTGTGAGTTCTGATGATGGGCTAGCTATGGAAGGCTGAATAAGGAGCCGAAGCTGGTATCAGGGAAGTCAGGGCTGATTGGGAAACCTGCTAAAATGGGGTGATTGCCTGAAGTTAGGATCAGATTACTTGCTGAGGAAGTGGAATGGGAAGGAAATAAAAATGGAGTCAATTGAGTAAAGAGAGCCTGCAGGTTGGATTGACTGCAACTAAGAGTGGTTGATGGTAGAAAAAGCCTGGTCTCTACAGACCATTGAACCATGGTTGATTGAAAATGCACCTACTTCTCAGAATGAAGTAGACAAGGACTGATTGATGATAAATAATTCCTCCAAGTGTGGAGTGAGTTATGTAGGGACTGATGTGTGACCGGGGATTCTTCCAGCGATGGAGTGAGTTGAACAAGGACTAATGGATGATTGAGAATTTCCCCCCAGAGGGGAGTGAGGGACATACAGATTGACTCAGGATGGATAACCCCTCTGAGGGAGAAATATATCCGTGGGGTAATAAACTGTGTGAGACATTGCTGCCTGTGCAGTGTGCAAGTCTGAAAACACTGGACTCAAAGAGTATGGATCTCTGAATGAAGGAAGTAGACACCTGTCCAGCCAGATGTAGTGAGGACAGAGTGTAGGGGAGGTAGAACCCTGTGAAAGAGATCCCCTCCAAACCTACTTGCCCGTATGGACCAAACTGACTACTGACCTCCCCATGCTTGTTTATTTTTCTTTAACATAAAGGCATGGCAGACAAGTGAGCAGGACAGGAACAGGGATTGGAGGGGATGGGATCCTATCAGACACATCCCTCCCCCCATGGGTGAAACATATCTGACAGTTCTTTCCATCTTGCATTTGTTCATCTTTTCTTATTTTTCAGATTCCACCAGTTAGAACTCTGCAGAGACAGAACTATTCAGCCTGAACAGAAATTAAAAAAAAAAACCCAAAACAAGTTATTCCACTTACGTGGTTTAGTGAATGGCCAAAACCACCTCATGCTTACAGGGTAACTCACAGTTTCATTGTAACCACATATACTATGTATTAATTGAGGGCACAAAACTCCTTACTTACTTACTTTGGGTTCTGTTGTGTAGGGAAAATCTACTGGGATCTGGTCCTTTGGTCCATTTCAGATATCATCTATTCTGATCTCACTGGCAGCTGGGCATCATGTCTAACCCTGATGAAGTTACTGTAGGCATAGATACCTTCATGCACTGAATATATACTCATTACAAGGGAAACATAAACTAAAATTCAGGGTGCTAAGGGAGTTAGATAATGCATTCACTATACAACTAGCAATTACTTCTGAAATCTTACATGGAACTGAAGCAGCTCCACAGGATGGGACACAAGCAAAATTACATTCTTTTTTTATTTAAAAAGAATGAGTAGAATAATGAAAAGCATCCTTGACAATGAAGGTCTTGTAAACTTAAATTCCTTCATAAATATAGATTTTTTTAACTGAATGAATTATAACAATAAAAAATACAGTATGCATTTAGAGGACACTAAAACTATAAGCCTAATTGTGGAGAAATTGTGCCAGATGAACTTAATCAAAATTACAAATTTAGTGCCTGAATGGAACACAGTAAATTAATTTGCTTTGGTACTGATTTTTGATGATATCTAATGAGATTTCATTTGAAAAATAGCTAGAGTTATAGGTTGAACATTGGATGAAGGACTATAAACATTGGTAAATGTTAATATGTTGAGTTGGATGGTATTACATGGACAGGTGTTAGCTTTATTCTGATTTAACATCTTCATTAATGACCTGGAAGAGAGAGATAAACAGAACATTAATTAATTTAATTAACAGATTATTCTAAATTGGAAGATGTTGTAAATACCAGAAGACATAAAATAAATGAGCAATATTAGCTGACAACAATAAAATGAGCTGTAAAGAAATCAAACTGTAAGATTTTTAGGAGAAAAAAAGTAATCAGTAATGGAAATATGCATTAGTGCTAAAACTCCAGAAAGCAATAGTGACATTAAGTGCCATAGGAGCTACTAAGGACAACATATTAGTCATGAAATTCCAATCTGGTGTAACAAAATACCAATGTCCTTTTTTGGCATTAAAGGTACCTCATTACTATTCACAAGGATGATCAGCTGATGATGTGGAGGGATTTGGGTTTTCTGCTTCCCATGGAAAAAAATGGTAAAAGCAGGATTTTCTCATTTTAAGTAGAAAAGACTGGATTTTCTCTTTTTTTTAAGGAGAAAAATGCAGGAAAAAAGGTTTTTTTTTCTTTCAGCCTGGCAGAGTTGCAGCCTGAAAGGGGCTGGGGGAGGAGTAGGGACCAGGTAGAAGGAACCGCATGTATGTGTCCACACACACATGCACATACCAGCTAGGCAGCATGAGAGCAGCTCCAGCAGTTTCCTTCAGGTAAGTTGGGGGGAAGAGGGGTTGATACCCCCAGAGTTAGGGAGGGAAGGAGTTGGGCAGGTCTAGGGTTGGGACTGCTATCCATCTGGGGTGGTGTGTGGGGCTTGGAGCCCAGGATGCACAGCCACAGGGTTTGGGTGGGGAGTGCAATGGAGTGATGTGTGGCTTGTCTGGGGGATATCAGGGGTGGCTGGCTTCCCGCCACTATACAGAACCCTAGGGGAGACATGGGGAGCATGCCCCCCAAATAATTTTGCATGGGGTGGGGGCAGCTGTGGGCTGGCTGCCATGGCTTGGGGTTCACCACCCTGCTGCCCTCTCTCTGCAGTCTCCACGGCCCAGCAAGAAGGACCTGGTGTGGCAGGACAAGGCAGGGCAGGGCAGGGCAGGGTGGGAAGGCTCAGTACTGCTGCTGGGAGCCACAGGCTACTTGAATGAGGCATGCACTGACCACCCAGCAGCAGCAGGTGACATAACCCCACACCACTGTGCCCACTGCTGCTGGGTCAGCAGGGGGCACCATGCCATGGTGGCCTGGGGCTCCTGGTGGTGGCAATGAGCCTCCCTGCCATGCTCTGCACTGCCGTACTGGGTCCTGCCTGCTGGTCTATGGAGGCCTCACGGGGAGGGCAGCA